AGAACCAGAAGGGGACCCCAGATGGATTCTTCCTTTCCCTGCTAGTCAGAGTTCTATTTGCCAGTTGCCATTGCGACTAAAATTACTTTCTCAAGGCATGGGCCTGACCATGTCTACTGGTTCCCCGCTATCTCAAAGGTCAGATAAACTCTGTTTTACATGAAAAGCCATGTGCAGCTTTGCTTCAACCTACCTTTATAGCCTTAATCCATATTGCTCCATACTGTTTCTCACACACAGCCTTGCATCTTCCATCTCTAGATATCTTTTGGCTGTCTCCCAGGCCTGCAATGTACTCCCTCTTAGAATCATTAGTTTCCTTCAAGATTCAGGTCAGCTTTAACATGAAGACTTTCCTGATCCCCCAGTTTCCAATCCCCGCCAATTATATTTTATTTATTTTGTATATATTTTGTACCTTTCACATATTACCTCTCCAGGGTAGACTGGAAGCTCCTTGAGGGCAGAAATAGTTTCACTTGTGTTTTTATATTCTGAGTAACTAACAGTGCCTAATAATTTCCACTTAAAAAATGTTTGTTGATTGGTTGATCCTACTTTCCTTGTCTACCAGTATTATGCCAGATATAAAAATGTAAAGATCCCAATTTTTAGCTACATATCTATCTATATCTATATATCTATCTATATCTATATCTATATATCTATTTATGTATCTATATATAAATCTATTTATCTATCTATCTATATATAAATATATATATACATATATATGAGAAGCAGTGGTCTGGGGAAAATATTAAACGGTACTGAAAGCCAATTTTAGTTTTTAAAAAATTACTCCATTGCTATTCCTCAACTTTGTGTAAATCTCTCTGTAGTAACATAACACATGTTGGCAGGGGACCAGAGTCAACAATGCTGCTTTACTATTTATCTGGAGCATGACACATGAACTCCTCTAGCTTCCAAGGTCAAAGTTATTAGTGGTTATCTGCCCTATAGGGTCAACCTGTTCACACAGGAAATCTAGATTATTTGATCCACTGAAGGAACATAACTTCCTTCGTAAGCACATTGTCTAGGCTTTCTCTTGTCTGATTCTAAATGCCCTGCTTCACCTAAGGCCTTGAGGCTTTATTCCCCTTAGGGAATGAAGGTTGCCTACCCTTGTCATCTTTGGAGGGATATGAAGGGGCAATGATCCTTTTTGCGTGTTTCACCAGAAACTAAGGTGGAAGTAATTAGAAAGGAACCTGGCCTTGGACTCGTATAAGATCTAGGTTCCTGTCCTGGCTGTGCCATGGATTAACTGGATGATGTCAAGCACCTTCACCAAGCTTTAGTTTTCTGAAAATAAAATTAGCCCAATGGCTAAGAAATCTCTAAGCTGTCTTCCAACTCTAAAATCATATGATTCCAAACAGAGTGCTATAATTTCTAACCAGAAGGCAAATTCCCATGATAACAGTTAAATCTTTTCTGTGTGAGATATTCATGAGGAGTAAAGATGTTCCTAGATAATTGTGAGTTCAGCCAAAAGGAGGTCGATCAACAGCTAGGTTTACCTAAGTTGCCTGGATGGACCACGTTCTTCATGAGGCATTGACTCAATCCTATTCTCATGTCACCTCCTTAAAGCCTGTATGCCATCTCTTTCACAGATGAGAATAAGGTTAGGAGCTCTTGATGTCCAGGAAAAAATTAAGGATGAGAAGCAAATACTGTGGATGCCTGGACCACTTGCCATTATGTAAGAGCTCCTTACATAAACTGTTGAGCTGTGATTGGGCTGAAGTCATGGGGTGTATGTCATAGCTATTTGTATTCATATCCTATCCCCCTACAATCATGTTAACAAAGCAAGGTCTGTGTGTTACCTTGATTTTGTTACTTCCCTATAGCCTAACTGTTGTTTCCACACAGTTGAGACTTAAATTGAATTCGAATGAATCTGGGGAATTTGACAATATCTGGAATCAATTAAAGTTTATCCCTCTTCTCCATATACCACATTTCTACCAACATCAGTGAAACTCTGAGACTGTCTATTACATGTAGATTCTCATCACTTTCCCAAGGCAATAATGGAATGTAGGTGACCCCATACTACTGGCCCATGTTGCCCTATTTGTATACATTCATTACTTAAATTGGCAGGTCCCAAGCCAGTCTAGGATCCCCAGCTACCCCAGCATCCACATACCTCTGTTTACATGAACTTACTGACAGCAGTGTAGGGTTTGAAGGCCAGACAACTGCATACCCTCCGTGTTTGCATACCTGCATTTGGCTATATGTTGTTCCTCTGTGACTTTTCCTTCCTTTCAACTGGCCTTGGAAATTCATCTTAACCAGGTTTCATTTAAATAAAACCAACAGGGCATTCCCCAAAGGGGATATTTGTCCCTAGGACATGCCCATCAAAGGATGGTTCTATCACCCCACCTTTAAATGGCAAGATGGGATCAAGTACAAAGAACATAACTTATCCTGTATGTAGCTTGTTTGTACATAGCTATTTGCATGTTATCTCCCCCATTAAGTTGTGAGCTCCTTGAGAACAAGGACTGTCTTTTACCTTTCTTTGTATCCCCAGCACTTGGCAGGGGCTTAATAAATATTTACGGACTAACTGGTCAATGAAGGAATTTCTTTTGCTATACTGTGAATATTTATTACAGGGGTTTTATTTTTGGTTGTTTTTTTTTCCTCCCATATGGGAGAGAGAAATAGAGGAGAAAAAAAAGAGATTTTCCTTCATTGAAAAAAATTAACTTTTTAAAAGAGAAACATAATGGGTGGGTATGATGCTAACCATAACCACCCTCAGACTCCATACATTTCTGACTCTCTTGGCTGTCTGATGCATTGCATCCTGGTATTATGTCTAGGGAAAGAAGGGTGGTAGAAATGAAGCAATTAGGGAGGTGTCTTCGTGGAGTGTTGTTACAATGAGGTGGACATCCCTGCCTTCTCCCTGACTGAGCTGTGGTAGGTGGATGCAGCTCTTGGGTTCCATCTCCATGTGGCTATCCCTGTGGGCATCATGATTCAGTCCCTGTGGGCACATGGCAGGGTAATGCTGAAGCGAGCAACATCAAAAATTCAGGACAAGCTGACATTTTGTGGTTCTAGCAGAGAGATAGGATGAGGCTTCTCATTCAGGAGGCAATGATGCATGAAGATATCATGGTAGCAAACAAGGAGTGGGGGCCATTAAGCCTCTGCATTAAGGGAGAGAGATTGGGAAAAAGCAATTAAGAGCTGTGAGAGAAACAAGTGAATCAGCCAACAGACTTTTTACTCTAATTGAGCCAAAGACTGTCGTTTTTAAGGATGGGCTTCCAGTGACAGAGGCTGCATTTTTTTTTAAAGAAGGCCCTTCTCAGACAGTGGCAAAGAGAAGAAAGGTATGTGTATTTAGACCCCACTCATGAAGTCTGGACTTTTCCAATACTTCAGCTTACCCTGGATTCCTGTCTACCCAGGAAATATTGATTATCCAATAAACTGTAACCAAAAGTCCTTGACTCCTTGAACGTTGAAATTTAAATTTCTAGGCCAACTTATGTAGCCAAGCAGGTTGTGTGCTCCCATCACTGCCGTGAGATTGTGATGTTGTATTTCTCAAATTATCTTCACATGTCTTTTAGATCTATCATTTGGGTAAAATATGCGAATGCTCCCCCCGCCCCAAGACCTTGACAGAGCTGAAATAAGCAAAGTTTCTGGAGTCCTCCCTCTCCTCCTCATTGCCCCCTCTCTTCCCTTCTGGCACATCACTTCTGCTCTCCTCTTGGACCAGGGTTTTTAAACATATGGAGAGAATTCAGGAGAGTCCATGAACTTGGAGAGGAAAGCAAAAAGTACATCTTTATTTTCATTATCTTTTGGTTTTCTTGGTCATCCTGTGTGTTTTATTTTGTGCATTTAAAAACATTCTGATGGGGTACCTAGGTGGCACAGTGGATAGCACACCAGCCCTGGTGTCAGGAGGACCTGAGTTCAAATCCGGTCTCAGATCAAACACTTGACACTTACTAGCTGTGTGACCCTGGGCAAGTCACTTAACCCCAATTGCCTTAAAAAAAATTCTGAGAAGAGGTCTGTGGGCATATCCAGGTGGCCAAAGGGGCCATGACACCATAAAAGGTTAAGGACTCCTTAGAGCTTAAACCCTATGCTATAGTCCCTTCCTTCAAGATCTTATTCTCAATTGAGTGTCAATAAATCCTCCATAAGACGTTCACTGATAACTAATTCAGGAATTAGAGTCCCAAAGTCATGATCTAATTGCCTTACCTTGATACTTGCATTTTACCTGGGGAGTGTAGAGGACAAGAAAGTCTACAACAAAAAAGTTGGAAGACAGCTCAATAGGCCACAGAGAGGCAGAGTAGATAAGAGTGTTAGTTGAGGAATCTGGATCCAAGTCCCAGCTTTGCTGCTAACTAGCTGTATGACCCTGGGCAAGTCATTTCACCTCCCTAGGCTTCAGTTTCCTTCATCTGTAAAATGAGTATATGGAACTACATGACTTTCAAATTTCCTTCCAGCTCTAAATCTATGATCCTATGGTAGAGTCGATATTTTGTTCAAAGGTTCATGCCCAGAGGCCTCTCAAGTCATTAACATCTAGTGGGTGGTGGGTGGAACCCACCAAACCCTTGCTGGTCCATTAGGCAGATGCCTCTCCTAGGATCTAAGCGAAACCTCAGCTGAGGCAGCTGTGCTATATGGGAAAGAACACTGGACTCAAAGACAAAAGACCTGTGTTCAAATCCTGAATCTTATCCTTCTTAGTTGCGTGACAGTGGGCAAGTCACTGGGAACCTCTCTGAGTTTCAATTTTGTCATCTACAAAATAGGAGTGATACTTGTGTGAAAAGTGCTTTATGAAATGTAAAGTAATACGTATGTATAAACACACACACATATAAGCAGTTACATATGTGGCCACAGCTGGTTTAGTATTTTACAGGACCCCAAATTAACTATTGTGTTTCTTTTTCTCCTTTTTGTTTTCTTTTCTCCAGGAACGAGTGGAATATCTCTTTCTCATCATTTTTACAGTGGAAGCATTTTTAAAAGTAATAGCATATGGACTTCTCTTTCACCCCAATGCTTACCTCCGCAACGGTTGGAATTTACTAGATTTTATAATTGTGGTAGTAGGGTGAGTATCCCCCATAACATACACACACAAACACACACACACACACACACACACACACACACACGCACACACACCTTTTTTCTTTTTCTCCCCCTTCTGTTTCTTTCTGACTAGTCTGCCGTTGCATTTGGTTTCTGAATAAAAGGAGAGGACTCAATAGAAACCACCTGATACTTGAAGAAAAGGGGAGTAGAAAGGAGAGTTAAATTTCTAGAATAGAGGCTAAACAGAGAGGGATTGGCTGATCTTGTTCCATAAAGGAAGGAGTTAATGTTTGCTAGGACATTCCATCTGTGGAATTTAGCATGAGCATCCTTTTGTAAAATCTAGTGGTCCCCTAAGTGAGAGGACATTCTACTTGAGTTCTTTATCCCTTCTCCCTGGCACCTCCCCGCCTCCCAGTAGACTTTTCCCAACTTCTGGAATTCATTTGCATTCAACTTTGCTCCACTAAAGAGGTTTTGAGATACGGTGAAAAGAATCTTTGGCCTAGAGTCAGGAGACTTGAGTTTGGATCCCAATCTTGAAGCTTAATGGTCCTTTGATATACTTGGGTTCCTAAAACGGAGGTGATAATATTCATATTACATACCTCATATGTTGCTTTGAGGAAAGTACTTGGTTAAATAAATATGAGTTATTATATTCTTGTCAGTCCATGTGCCTGCATGTGCTTGCTAACATGTAGAAACCTATAGTATCTAGATGAGCCAAACATGAACTGTTTGTGTATGCCCATATGAAGTTTGCACAAAGTTATTCAACTCACTTTCAAATTATGTGCGTAAGTGGTTTCCCCTAAACCAGAAATTTTTTTTGTATTATTGTATCATGGACCTTTGTGGTAGTCTAGTGATACCCATGGACTCCTCAGAATAATGTTTTTAAATGCATAAGATGAAATACATGAGATTACAAAGGAAAGCAATTATATTAAAATACAAAATTTTTTTATGTTCATAGACTCCAAAATAAGAGCACCTACCCTAAGGCAACTTTTCCTCTGTGGTTCTAAGAAAAAAAAAAGTGTTCTAGAAGCAGTTGAAGAAAGAAGAAATCAAAGAGTTGAGAATAGTAATAGCTAGTATTGATATAACCCTTTAAGATTTTACCAGGCACTTCACATATAGTAATGCTCATTTGATATTTGCAACAACCCTGTGAAGTAAGTACTGTAATAAGATCTCCACTTTACAGAAGGAAACAGCCTCCAATAAATTAAGTAGTGGCTTGCCAGAGGTCCTAAAACCCAGAGTATCAAAGGCAGGATTCAAATCCAGGTCTCTATCCCCACTGCCAGACAGAAAACAAGGGAAATGTTAATAAATGTACACCAGGCACATGTTCCTCAATATGCCCTGTCCCTCTTCAGTACAGATTGTTAAAAGAAAACCCACCATATGCTTTAAGAAAATATACCAAATGAATATACTACATTAGTGTGTCTGTCTTCCCACAGCTCTTCTGAGATGTACTATTTTTGTCTTTTGTCGTATTTGGCGATATGATGGATATGAGGTGAAACCTCAAAGTTGCTTTTATTTGCGTTCCTCTTATTGTTTATGATCTGGAGAATATTTTTATAGTGCTTTATCACTTTTATTCCTTTTGAAAATTGCCTATTCATATCCTTTGACAACTTACCTATTAGGGATTGGCTCTTGTACTTATATATCTATTTCAATTCCCTATATATTTTTCATGTCAGAGCTTTATCAGATATATTTACGGCAGTGATTTTTCTGAATTAACTGCTTCCAATTCTAGCTTCATTGATTTTGTTCATATAAAACCTATTCCATTTTACATTGAAGTTATGCATTTTAACTTCTATGGTCACCTCTATTCTGTTAAGACTTCTCCCCCTAAGCATAATCATGCAAGAATCTTTCTTCTTCTTCTTCTTCTTCTTTCTCTCTCTCTTTCCCTCTCTCCCTCTTTCTTCCTCTCTCTTTGTATAATGTGATCTTTCATATTTAAGACACATATTTGGAACTAATTATGGTATGAGGTACAAGAGGCTGGTCTAAACCCAATTTCTGCTAACCTGCTTTCCAGTTTCTGTAGGAGTTTTTTGTCAAATGGGGGTCCTGATTCCAATAATTAGTATCTTTGGATTTATCGAACATTAAGCTACTGTGTTCACTTATTTCTGGATCTTGTTTATCTACTCTGTTCCATTGATCAACTTCCGTATTTGTAACCAGTATTACACATTTTTGATTGCTATTTTATAATGGAGTTTGAGAATCGGTTATGCTAGTCCTCCTTCAGTCCTTTTTTTCCTCATATTTCCCTTGAGGTTCTTGACTTTGTTTCCCCTAGATGAACTCTGATATTGGTAATTTGCTTTGCAAAAGAATCCTTCAACATCCTGCTTTCAGACCTTAACATTAGAAGCCCAGGGCTTAAGTCCAGTATATATAGATTGGGTTTGTATAATATTTTAAGGTATATAAAGTGATTTCTTCATAATTATCCTTTGAGACAGGTTATGACACTAGCTATGTGATGCTAGACAATTCACTTAAACCTCTCTGTCTCAGTTTTTTTCACCTATAGAACAGGAATAGAAGTACTGGCCCTGCCTATTTCATTGGGCTGTGGAGAGGAAAATGCTTCCTAAACCTTAAAGTGCTATATAAACATGAGCCCTCATTATTTTATTTTATTGAATCTGTGATTTCATCAATTTAGAGAATGCCCAAGAAAGGAAATTATCCCTACCAATACAGTTTGGTACCTTCTCTGCAGCTTAATGTCTTAGAGAGTTGATTAGGCTAGTGCATTGAGAGGTTAAGTGATCCTTGTCCAGGGAGAAAGAAAAATAGATAGAGAGATATATGGTTATAGATATAGATATATAGTCAGAAGTGAATCTTGAATAGGAAGTCAAGATGGTAGCAAACTTTCCCTAAAACTTCTCCTTTAAAACAAATACAGAAAATACCAAATCAAATTCTAAGTGAAAAGGCCAACAAAAAGTCACATTGAGTCATTTTTCCAGCCCAGGGCAGCTTAGGAAAATAGAAAGAAAAACCTGTGGACACCAGCATAAAAGCTGGCCAGGACAGTGGCAGCTACAGCAGCAGAGAGAGCATTAGAAGCAGCCAACACACAGGAATGGTAAGGAGAATGAACACCTGGTCATAAAGAGATTCCAGGGGACCCCCTGCAATAGCACTGGGTACAGAATCAATGTCGTTTGGCAGCTCCATAGCCTATTACTTAGTGCCAGGTTGTGGTCCCAGTGCAGAGAGGAGTAGTTCCAGTGGTGAAGGTGTAGGCGCTTTGTCTGGGTAAATACCAGAGCACAGACCAGTAGAGACCTCTCTCTAGATCATGCCACCTTGAAAACACTGAAAATCTACAGACCCTCATATCAAACTACAAGCTCAGCCAACCCCTCAGAAGTGGGCAGACCACAACTCTAATATAAAGTCTGAAGTCAAGAAAAGGCTGGGAAAATGAGATTTAAAAAAAATCTGGGCATGAAAAGCTATTATGGTAACAGAAGAGGTCAAGGTGAAAACTCAGAAAAAGACAGTAACTTAAAAATATCTACGACAGAGCCTCAAAAGAAAAAATGCGATTGGACATAAAACCAACAAAAATTCCTGTAGAGCTAAAGAAAGATTAAAAAAAAAAGTAAAAATCAGTAAGAGTGGTAGAAGAAAAGTTGGGAAAAGAAATGAGAGCTACATAAGAAATTATGAAAAGAGAATTAACAGCTTGGTAAAAGAGGCACAAAAAATATTGAAGAAAATAACTCCTTAAAAATTAGAATTGGTCAAGTGGAAGCTAATGACTCAATGAGACATCAAGAAACAATAAAACAAAGTCAAAAGACTGAAAAAATAGCTTGCAAGTCAAGCTGTCACTAGGTACTTTTGTACTATCACAGAAAACCAAGCTCAATGCAGAGAGCAACCTCTCAGGACTTATCAGTTTCATTTGTATCTGTCCATGCTTGTTCTGCCACTGGACCTTCCTTACAGGAATCCACATCATTTACAGGAATTCCTTACAGGAATTTACATCATTTTGAAGTGAGCTTCTTTTTTTTCTGGTCACTTAGATTGCTGTTCAGGTGGAGGGGGATGGAATCTGATTTTTGTTTTCTACCTTTGCTAAGAACTGACTTTGACTGAATAGATATCAGAACTGTCCCAGTCAAACAAAAAGCTAGTTATTCCATTAGTGTAGACCTGGCTCCAGAGAACTTTGAAATTCATTCATTCCCTTATGTGTTCCTTCAATGAACATTCATTAAATACTAATCATGTACAAGGCATGGATAGATATCACAGGAACTCTTCTGCAAAGGACCTTGGAATCTAATGCAGGTGAAAGGGCCATGAAATAGAAATAACTATGATACAAAGGAGAATTACATACATGCAGTGTCAAAGTGCTATTAAAAATTAAAGAAAGTGGGGCAGCTAGGTGGCACAGTGGATAGAGCACCAGCCCTGGAGTCAGGAGGACCTGAGTTCAAATCCAGTCTCATACCAGACACTTGACACTGACTAGCTGTGTGACCCTGGGCAAGCACTTAACTCCAATCGCCTCGCCAAAAATAAATAAGTAAATGAATGAATGAATAGATAGATAGATAGATAGATAAAAATAAAGAAGGGCACGATCACTTCCAGCAGTTAGATGGTACAGTGGATAGAGCACTGGGCTTGAATCAGAAAGACTCATTTTTCATAAGTTCAAATCCAGCCTCAGGCATTTACTAGCTATGTGAACCTGGGCAAATCACTTAACCCTATTTGTCTTAGTTTCCTCATCTGTATAATGAGCAGGAGAAGGAAATGGCAAACCACTCCAACATCTTTGCCAAGAAAACCCCAATTGGGGTCGCAAAGAGTTGGACCCAACTGAAAAATGATGGAACTATCTCCTGAAGATCGCTTTCATCTTAGGAGATAAGGAACACTTCATAGAGGAAGTAGCATTTAAGTTGAGTCTTAAAGGAAGGAAGAAATGTCAAT